TAATATAATATAATATTGAATCAAATGAAAAAGTCTCTTTTTAAAACGTGTTTTATTTTTTTTTAATTTTTAACTTTTTGCACATTGCATCACGCAAAATTTTATATATGCAACTGTTTTTGACTTGAAGAAATGTGTTTAACATTTAAACCTATTTTCTGCATCTTCCAGCATATATAAAAAAATGCTTACACTCACTCTTTCAAATAGATGCAAGTAAAGCACAGCAAAAAATATATAAAATCAAAGATTCAGTAACAGCAAGTCCTGTTGCTCTTAAATGTATTTTCACCTGTTTAGCAGGAGTGGAGCAGGCGGAGATTTGCCCGGTGCCGCAGTGGTCATGTCAGTGGGACCATCCCGGGGTTTCTTTGTGAATTTCACATTGCCGTGGCAGTGTGCTAGGTGCTTGCTCAAATTTGAAGTTTAATTTTTCATTGTAGAAGGAAGTTTTTGTCCTATGCATAGTGCTCAGCAGATGCTAATGTTTTTTTCACTTTTTACGGAATCAAACTCAAAGTAATGTCAGTACTTCCACACTTTAAACGCTGCATGGTTGCACTCCCTCCCGCACTCCATACACAGGTGTCTGTTGCTGCCATGGACGTCGCGCGTGCTTATGTCATTGTCATGAGACACTCACAAAGAAAATCATGGTTTAGTAATACATCGTGCTTATGGAAAAATAACAGTAATCTAATTACTTTTTGCAATAGTAATACTTGTAACACATTACTGCCCATCTCTGAGTGTAGCTACGAGCGATAATTTGAATTCCCCTAACTTCTGCCTCAAATGAAAACCACAAACAATATAAGACTACATTTCCTCTTTTAGAGATGTGCTGTGTCTAAGTTCATGGTGGTGATTTTACTCATGTATCCCAAAAAGGTTACATGTGGCATGAAGTACAATTTCCCACACGCAGTCGGTTTCAGACTACACTTAAGAACTTTGTAATGCAGTAAAGCAAACACAGTGCACACACTTTTGTTTATTCTTAAATAAAGAAATATAATTTTAAATAGTTCTAGCTCTAGCTTGATAGAAAAGCCAATAAGCTGTTAAGAGCAGCTGATATTGTTTTCGTCATAGTATAAATATCAGACTGACAACAGAAACTAAATTAGAATTTGTTGTTGTTGTTGTTGTTGTTAGGCCAGTGTTCTTTTAGCGGTGCCTTACATAATAGGCCAATGCAGGTGGGGCACTAATTTTCTTATCTAACTGCAAATCGTAGATATTCCTAAAGTTTCAAATCAAACCCAATGAATACAGTGAACTATCTCCTCAATCCCTCTGCCTTTCTCTATCAGAAAATGAAGGTGTATTGCCCTCCAGACCTCTTCACTACAACTATGACATGGGTGACACTCAACCACAAGGTGAGACTAATTCTGATTGAAAGACATTTTATCCTTGATTTGAGATTTGGCAATATTAAAAACAACACCCAGTAATTTGTGTAAGTCACTTACATCAAACTTATTTTGCATCGAGGGCCTCATAGAGCTCACTTTGATTTTAAGTGGGCCAGACAAATGGCACTCCACTTACTGTCAATGTAAAGATGTTTCACTACACATTTAAACCTGATATATCTTAATATAAGATAATGAAGTTTAATTTCAACAGCACATCTCAATTTACATAATGAATGTGTAAAATTAGAGAAAGACCTCTGGTTGCTCAGCTTCTGTGAGTGTTAAGTGTTAGATTAAGTGTTCTTAATCTAACACTTAACTACTTTGGTGTAGAATAAATAGCTGTGGGTGAGGTCTTTATCAGCAGGAAAACCAGTGAACTATTACTAAATACTCTTAAAAGTCCCAAAATGTATACCTTCCTTCATATTTTCCAAAGTTCTCCAGCATGCCTATTTAATTCTTTGCCAGGCCGATTCTGGCCCACTGGTCTTATGTTTGACACCACTGGTCTAAGTGAAAGAAACATTGCATTAATTAAGTTTTGGCTAACAGCATATCTAATTTCACCTGTTGTCAAAGCGGGAACCAACACAATGATGTCTTCAGCAGGAATCTATCAACCTATAGCAGAGGATCCATTCTATTCTACAATATTTGGTAAGACTGTGGGCTGTGATGCCTTATGTGCTGCATTCAGAAAATATACAATGTGTGATTAAGATTAACAAATTTGGGTTTGATAATATAGATGTTCCCATGTTATTATATGCAAGTCTATTATGTGTAGTTTGTCATTTTATGAGCTGTACTCACTCCTGAGTTTTTACGTTAGATAATGCTGACGTGATATAAAGTGTCGTATTAAACCTTGATTTCACTACATAAACTAAAAAAAAACTAATGTCTATGCCTCAAAAAGTTCAAGTGAAGCTCGATGTGTAATATGCAATAGAATAAACAGTTTCCTTGTTTTATAATACTGCTTATTTATAATAATTTTTATTTTTATTCTGTACTTTTTAATGTCTTACAGGTAGCAGCTGACTGAAAACATAAAGACATTTTAGATAGAGTGAAAGCAATGATGTCACCCAGATGTATCAAATATAGTTGTTCCAATGAAAAAAGTGTGCATTTTCAGCTGGATTTGATGTGCTCATGTACAATTTGCTGCAGTTTATGTGTATTTAATCATCTGCTTTTAGTTGCAATTGCTTTGCCTCTTTACACATATGGGAATGCTGTTACAAGAAAAGAGCTCCTGTAGCTTTCAAATATACTCAATGTGCTGAACTGCTACTCTGAAAGTGTGTTATTACTTGTTTTCCAAAACCGATGAACTGAGTTTGTGATCAGCAGAGAAATAAACTTGCAAAGTTTGATATTGAGCGTGTATCTGATTGGAATGTGGTCTAAAAGCAAAAGTCAGAAGCTGAATGAGCTCTGGTGAGACTATGATAATGAAAAAACAGGATACGATTCAGCTGGTGTGATGTGGTGCTCAGCTCCTCTGTGCTTTGCTTCAGTGAAGGACAGTTAGTTGTATTTTGACAGACGAAATAAGGTCATAATGAATTTTATTTTCAGCAAAATTTCCACCTCCAATTCCCGGTGTTTTAGGACGTTAGACAAGCCATCCTCGTCTTTTGAATACGTTTTTATATGTTGGGCCGTAGTGTCACTAACAACCCATTTGTTTCCCCATTTTATGCCAGAAACGTTACTGGTATTTGTAACAACATCAAATCAGGGTTAAAGAGACAAAGCAACATCTTCTTGTCTCTTTAACCCTCTATATGTGAGATGGAAGCATCTGACTCTCCTATTAAATAGGAGCATCTTGAAGTGAACGCACAGTACCATGGAGAATGTGCTTTTCAGGAAAAAAATAACAAAATAATAATAATAAAATCTCCAAAACTGATGTATTTAATGTTTGTATGAGAGTGACAAATGTTAAACAGTTATGGCAATTATCACACATGCAAAGATGTTCTCCTTGATATTTTTTTAATATGTCTAAATGAAATTATTAAGCACATCCTGCTGGGAATCCATGCAGGCAGGGGTGGGACTTTATTTTGATGGGCACACCATGTGGCCTATCACATTCAAAGACAGACCTGGATCATACCATTATGTGAAAAAAGGAAGCGGGTAGATGTTCTGAAGACAGCAAGTGTAGTGGTAGAGGCCGGGTACACAGAGAGACAGGGGAGAGGATTTAAATGCAAGTGTGAAGAAATTAATAAAAACTTTAAAAACTTAAAATAAAGGAAAGAGACATGACTCTGTGCTGCAGAAACAAGACGGCTTCTCTGATTTCAATAAACATTGACATCACACCCTTTGGAACTCCACTGAAAACATGACCAACCGCAGAGTTTCTAAGGACTTCACAAGTGTAGCATTTTAGGAGCTGGGGAATCATCATAGATCTTGCTCAGTGTCTAAGGTAAATTCCTGCCTTATATGTCTGATATAAGCAAACGAAACAGGTTCACAAAATGTCCCTCTCTGTTTTTATAATGTCTTACTGCCAGATGTGTAAGATTTTAAACATTGTCTTTGTTTAAATCAGAATCAGAATCAGAAAGGGTTTTATTGCCAAATGTTGAGCAGGTTTACAACATTAGGAAAGAAGCTTGAATTAACATTTAGATGTTTTATTTTCCCCTTAATGTTTTTTTTTTTTTTTAATCTTTTAAACATTCAGCAACTAATCCAGCCATTTACAAAGAGACAAGACTTTTCTCCTCTGGTGCCACAACTTGGATCATTTCCACTACTGTATTTGGTGCTCTGTTGTTGTTGGTGGGACTGTTTCACTTTAGCAAAGGTTGCTGGGAGAGAGGTAAAGAAAACTTTGCACATTATATGTGTATTGCTTTTGATTTTCTGCGCAATTAAACACAATCTGTTAAATTAAATGTATTGTGAATTAGTTGTAGAACCCTGGAGTTACTGCTTATTTCAATTGCTGCTACCTAAATGTTTTTACATGGATTAAGTTTGTCTGTGAAGGTTCTCAGTCATCCAGGTCATCGTAGTCAAAGGAGCTTGCAAAGAAAAGCGTCTGGACTTCTTTAAGTTGCTTGAAGACGTTTCACCTCTCATCCGAGAAGCTTCTTCAGTTCTAAGGTCAAATGGTGGAGAGTCCCAGATATAAACCTAGTGGGAGTAACCCCCCACAGAAGGACAAAAGGACCCCCTGATGATCCTCTAATCGCCTGAGCCAAGGTGTGAAACTGGGTGTGGGTCCCAATCAGCCAGGGTTTCGGGTGTGAAACCGAAGGAACACACACATGTAAAGGAAGCACTCAAAACGTGCGGCTATCCTAAATGGGCGTTCTTAAAGTCAGCAAAGAAGCACAGAAAAGAAGACCAGACACCAGCGAGGGAGGATAAGAAGGACAGACGCAACAACATTGTCATCCCCTATGTAGCCGGTGTATCAGAGAAACTCAGGAGAGTTTTCTCCAAGCATGACATCCCGGTGCATTTCAGACCCAGCAACACGCTCAGACAAAAACTGGTTCACCCGAAAGACAAAACGCCAAAACACAAACTTAACAATGTGGTGTATGCTGTACAGTGCAGCGAGGAATGCCCAGACCTCTACATTGGAGAGACCAAACAGTCACTTCACAAGCGCATGGCACAACACAGAAGAGCCACCTCCACAGGACAAGACTCAGCAGTCCATCTGCATCTTAAGGGTAAAGGTCACTCTTTCGAGGATGCCAATGTTCACATTTTGGACAGAGAGGACAGATGGTTTGAAAGAGGAGTGAAAGAAGCCATCTATGTCCACTGTGAGCGACCATCTTTGAACAGAGGCGGGGGTTTATGACACCAACTCTCTGCCATCTATAATCCAGTTTTGAGATCCCTTCCCAGACGCCTTAACGCCCACTCACATCCTGGGCCATCTGACCTCAGGAATTCGCATGATAAGGTGGGGCCAGGTTTCACAATGAACACACCCGAAACTCTGGCTGATTGGGACCCACACCCAGTTTCACACCTTGGCTCAGGCGATTAAAGGATCATCAATGGGTCCTTTTGTCCCTCTGTGGGGGGTTACTCCCACTAGGTTTATATCTGGGACTCTCCACCATTTGACCTTAGAAGTGAAGAAGCTTCTCGGATGAGAGGTGAAACGTCTTCAAGCAACTTAAAGAAGTCCAGACGCTTTTCTTTGCAAGCTCCTTTGACATGGATTAAGTTTATTATGTGGTTAAGCTTAGTTGGAGCATAATATTTGAAAAACGTTGATTGCTTTTTCGTTGGTTATGTTGATACAGTTTATGTTATTATTATTTTTTTGCCCTCTGCAAATTTGTTCTGTCTATCAACAACAGTCTATGGTTCAGGCTTAGCCGAGGATCAAACAGGTCAGAGCACAAACACTGTGGCGGGATTTTTATTATACACTGAAACCGAAACAAGCAGAAATATATCATTTCAGATAGAAATGATCTATTTGATTGTTTGGATACTGTATTGTTATAAGTTGTGTTTTCAATAAGCTATATTGAAAGTTTTTTTTTAAATTGTTAGCTAAGGCTAACAGACACAGACTATTTATTAAGCTAAGTAAGAATCTGTAGCTGCTTTCATGTGCCTGACTTTCATTATTCTCTAGCTTCCACAGAGGCCACTATTGTGAATCCAAGCAGAAAAATATATGCTGTTATAAGAAAAAAAAAATCAGGAAGAAGAAAGGTATTTTATAAACCCTTTAAAACTACAAACATCGTAAAGTGATGTTTTTAAATTGATAGGCAGAAAAATTGATGCAATTTTCTTGTTGGTACTGTCTGTTTTTTTCTTTTGGAAATGCCCTTTTATAGTGATTATTTATCTTTGTTCTGTATTTCCTAGGCATCTTCCAGAGTTCACTGAAGAGAGAACTACAGAAAGATCTGTCTGTGAGAGTGAATACAAGCCAAATTTGCCTTGCATTGTTTTTGTAACTGAACAAGCTGTACATTCTCGGGTGATTTCGATATGCATGTCTATAAATTGTTATGAGCTGCGGGCAGGCAGACCTACATGGCTGTGAGTACATAAGAAGTTCAAATGGTTTAAAGAGCAACTGTCTGTTATTTAGAAGTTGAACTTAAACCCACCCGTTCCTTCTGCTTTGTTTTTTAAAAGTTGTATAAATACCATTACATGAAAAAAGCTCAAAGTGGTCAACCACTAATCTGAAAATGTCACAAGTTTATAGTCAGCTGTGAAACACACGTGCAAAGTTTGATACTGTCACTAACTGAAGTGTGGTCTAGTACCCAGAAAGAATATCTGGTGTTTTGTTTCTTGCTGCAGCAATATTTGTTCAATGTAGTCAAAGAAAATGATGTTGCGTTCTACTCTTGTTTGGTCAGACTATGTGAAAACTGAGTGTGTGAAAGCAGCTCAGCTAGTCTTTGTTTCCCTTGTATTAATCATAGTAAACTATATAGCAAACTAACTGTAGTATACACTGTTTAAAAATAAGACAACAGAAATAAAGTACAATTCTCGCAGAAAGACTGTAAAATAATTAAAATAAAATAAAAATATGGACATTTAATTATATACAGAACTTTTTTTTCTAATTTAATTGGAATACAGCTGTTTTAGCTTTATATTTAAATTAAATCTTGTGGATTGTTATAAAAGCAATGAAATTACCTAATAACATGGTCAAACACTGCTCTAAAAAATAATAATAATGTTAGAATTTATTTAATATTACTTTCTAGTGTCAGCTGATGTTTGCTGGAGCCATAGCTGTAAAAGCTGCTGGTCATGATATCGGTTTGTATATCTGGTGAGAGGGAAACATGAAGATGAAACCAGGAGATGTCCTTACTGAATCATCAGAGCTGAACAGGTGATGGAGAAACAGGTTTACCTTTTAGGTGACATGGATGAGTTAAGGGGAATTATGAACAGTTTCTGAGAGATAAATAACACCAGGATCCTTTTCTGTGTAGTTGACAGCTGGTAACTGTGCAGGGGCGGATGTAGCAAAGTTTTGCCAGGGGGGCCAGTTAAGGCATTAACAGGGAAAGGGGGGCACAAAGAAATACTTTTCTTTCTTATTCTCATTTAAAATGTCTCGCTTTTATCAAGTAATTACCTGAATCTTACAACCAAAGTTTTCATCTGATGTAAAATGTATATAAATCATACATTTATACCAACCAGACAGTGTACATCACTGTCACAACAGTGTTCGTTTTCATTGAAAGGCTTTATGGCTTTAATACCTGGTGGGTCGGTCTCTCGTCAAATGCGCAGGCCGATTTTTTTGTCCCAGTCCAGCCCTGGGCACGATACACAGTGAATTAATCTGAGAAGGTGCTGTTCTGTTTTCAATATGTTCATATGCTAATGAGACAAATAAATGTAAAGTGTATTTCTATTGTTATACATCTGAATGCTGGACACTCGGAGACCTGTGTCTTTGAGTGGGAGACCAGAGATCACATTAACATGTGTGTCTCTTTATTATCAAACATGTCATATTGGCCCAGTTTATTTTTCTTATCATTGTTGTGAGGAGACCATAAATAGCATTTGCATTTACTGTTTTACAGTTCATTTGCT